TATATAGTTTTCTTAGGATTTTTATTTTACTGCTTCCGAATCCCTAAAACTATAACTCATGCCAATATTTCAAAACATTTGGGAACTTTTGTGGTAAAATAATTGTGTTTTGGGTCACAACCATTTACATTTTAAAGTAAACTTGAAATATTCACTACCACAAAATTTTAGATTTTAAAAATCCTTAACTTACATCATGATCTGTAGAATGTGAGCGTTACTGTCGTGGTGTAGACTTTGTAGACTGCTGCAAATGAACCGCCCTGTGGGAACAGTAAAGGAGACTTTATCAAATCGCTTGAAAGGTCTTTAAGAGTTCCTAGTAAATCTTATTTTACTTTTACTGAGATACGCCATCTTAGAAAATAAAATCTCGTTGATCAGAAACTACAATGCAAACAATAAAATGTAACTAAATGTTGCAAAGTTTGTTTGCATGGTGAAATATTTTAATGAAATTTTAACAAATATCTGATAAATTTACAAGCAAACAGTAGATTTGCTAGTAGATAGTAGCTTTTTAAATATGAAATATGTAAAAAGCATTCAGTCGGAACAGACTAGTATATTTTGATTACATTGTTCTCTTGTCTAATTAGCCCAAGCAATTGGCTGCATTGTAAGAAGCAATAATATGAAATTTTAAGTTACCGGGACACATTGTATAAACTGAACAAGGTAAAGTTCCTTTAGCCTTTCTTGAATCGAACTCCTTCCATAACTTAGCAAATTAATGTTTTTCTTTCTTTTTTTTTATTTTTGAGCTTTTTTCTTTTTCTTTGCTGTCGTTTAAAATAAGGTAACAGAATGATATTATCTCATGTAGCTTTTTCCTGACAAAGGAAGTGAGATACAATTTTGGCTTCACAGAATTGACACTGTGGCTTAAGGAGTCACTGAAACTCCATGCTGAAAACTGAGAATTTCTCTTATCTCAGACGTGGTCATGATTTTAATCTCTAAAAAGTTTTACTACCAAATGTTTTTACGTCAATATAACACAAACACCCACACACTAACACACTAAAGAACAGAAATAGATGTGCTTGTGCAACTACTTGGGCCAAGTCCTTTGCTACCTATCTGTATAGCCATTGCTAATTCCAGTTAAAACTGTATGTAAAAAAGCATGTTGTTTTTTTTTTTGTGTACTTTAGGTTTCTTTTTCCAAAGAAACCTAAAGTAGACTTGAAGTGGAAGAAGAGCTGATTTTCCAGTACGAGTAAGCCTGAAGGTTTCCCCCTACCCCCACTACTTGTACAGTTGAAACCAAAGATTTACATACACTGTATAAAAGGACATGTTTTTCTATGTGACATTAAAACACACTACACCTTTCCCATGTTGTCAGTGAAGATTACCAAATAATTTCATATTTTCTAAATGACAAAATAATGAAACTGACTTGTTGGAAAAAAAAAAAAAGTTTTATTCTTTTAACAAAGATTTTTAACTTTACATACACAAAGCTTTGTGTGCTTTTGATCAATTTGGGAAAGCCCATGTGATGATGTCATGGCCTTTAACACTTAATTCATGATATTTGAGTTAAACGGAGGAACACCTATGGATGAATTGGACACCGTTTCATCACTGGGTGTAATTTTTATATGCCTGGAGGCGCCACATCTGCTCAAATAAATATGCCAATTTAAGCACCATATAAATGTCCAAACATCTTGCCGAAGAACAACCAAGTCGATGTTTTGGAGTGGCCAACACCCCGGAAAAAAAGGTGGGTAGAATACAAAAGGTGAATGTGATCAAGCAGCATACACACCAGTTACATCAGAAATTACAACAAACTTTCTTTGAGAAGCTGGTGGAAGGATGACGAAACTATTTGACCCAAATTAATGTGGGCTTCTCGGGTTTTTTCTTATTATAAGACAGTTAGATGTTTAATTAACTTATAGATGTGGACTGAAGAATAATCGCACAAAGCTAATAATGATCTGAGGTTCGTTCTGCCTCCCTCGTCCTGTTGTTCACAAAATTAGCGTTTTTTGTTTTTGTTTTTCAGACATTTGTCAAGGTGGAAGTCACTGACACTTTCTACAGAGAGGTTAGGCCACAAATGATTGCCTAGGCACAGTGTGGTATCCAAGTATAATTACAGAAGGTTCAGTGGAAGGAAAAAGTGAAGCTGAAAAACATATAAGATTCATGTAATGTGAGCCAAAATTGATAAAAAAATAAACCCTTGAAATATATCACTTTAAGTTAATTAATATTATTCACTTTTTCGAACTGAATTAATACAATAATTTCATTTTAAAGTGATTTATTCCACAGAGATGCACCTGTGCTAAAAAAAAAAAAAAAAAAAAAAAAAAAAAAAAAAAAAAACACACACAGATGATTCTTAAGGGGTCATTCACCTTTATTACACTTTTAATGAACTCAACCAGTTTAAATTTGCCAGATTGTTTACAGTACAGTTACACAGGAACACTTTGCCAAATAAAGAAATCTGTCTCAAGAAGTCACGGAGCATGTCTTTGGTTAAAGGTCTCAATGAAAATGAAGAACAGCTCTTTCAGTAGTAGTAACAACATCCCAGTGAGTAAATTTACATCGTTTCACCAGGTGTAACAACAATTTAGTTGTGCTTAATGCCACTGCATGTCAATTACGATTCACATTTCCTCAGCATCATCTATTTTTTATTTTTTTGCATACATGCTTTTAATTACATGTGAATTGCGTGACCCTCAATCCAACTGATTGTTACATAATAAATAAAAAATACAGAATAGTTACATCCAAAACACAGCATTGTAAAAGGCAATAATGCAGCAATCAAAACCTCGATAACATAGTTTATACTTTTATTAGGGAGTAAGGGGACGGACCAACGAAGAAGAAGAAGAAGTCTAGAATCTGAATCAGGATGTTTAAGTACAAATGTGACTTGAGTAACTAGAGTATACACCATGTTGAGTTTTGCTAAATGCTGGTAGGAAACCTTCGGTGGTTTGGGAAACACAGGCAAGCTTATTCTCATCTATGGTTTCAGTAGTATCATTACAAGATCGACTGACTTAAACTGTGAACATACAATGTTTTCATTCACTAACGGAGCTGTACACTTTATACACGGGGCTGCGACTTCTCTTATCCTGTCATAACATGACCACAACCCGCTTTTTAACCCACCTAACGAGACAAACAAAATTATGGCAAACCTCAATTTCATTTTTTCTCTTTTCTTTCTGAAAACACACACACACACACACACGCACACACCCGCGCGCACACACAAATAAAAAGGAAAGCCCCTCCCCTCACTCAGCTTCTTCAGGAGCTTTATGTAAAACTGCCAGCAGACATAAACAAACATGGCATTGCTTGTGCTAAAACATATAATTAAAGCCTGATAAACTCCACAGTGTGACCTTTTCTAATCGAGGTGACCAGTAATAAATTTTAGAGGGTAGAGGAAAACAAAATGACACACTAAGCCGTAAACAGTTCGTCAGAATTTCAAGGGGCAATCCCTTTTCTTGACTCGCCTATTTAGGGTAGCAGGTTGATCATAAATATGAAAACTAGAATGAGTCATTCAGTTGAAAGCCTTTCTACGAGGAGACCTATATGAAGCTTCTACAGACTACTATAATCCAGTGTGATGAGTTTAAAGAGGTCAAATTGATGTATATATATATATATATATAGATAGATATATATTGGAAAAAAAACAAGAATATGACTACCATGGCAGAGTGTCTTTGTCTAGACTCTAGATGATACTTCATATGGTGACCCAATACCATAGTTGTGCCCTTTTTCTTTCTTTTTTTTTTTTTTTTTTACACTTTACTGCTCTGTGCAGGATTTATTTAGAATAATCCCTTTGCTCAAATGTGAAAATAAACAGGCTGCTACACAAAGTGATGACAAGGGCACCAGGGAAAGCATCCTTAAATGTGTCAAAGTGCGCTACCTACCGATGTTCACTACAAGGGGAGTGACGCATTAAAAGTAAAAGAGGGAGGAATCTCAACGTCTACCTCAAATACATTCAGAAAGTAGTTGCTGTGTCGTTGTCTTGTGCTGGTTTTTACAACAGTCCGTTTTCAATCAGCCATGTTAGGAAAATGTTTCTCCTTCTCATAACAGCACAATGTGTTTATTATTATTTCTTTATTTTATTTTTTTTAAACATATTATTTCCATTACACCGATGCAAATTAATCATAGAAATGCCTACATCTAGTAGCAGGTACTTACGTTATTTACAGTGTCCGTCTGGAACGTTTTGGACTCTTCGAAAGCAATGACAGGAACAACACAAATAAATACTGCAGCATCATACACCAAAAAGTTGTCATGCTTCCAGTAAACCAATAGACTTCAGAATATTCTGTTAGCACGGATCTTTTTGAAAGCCGAATAGTAAAACAAATAAACTGGCTAAATTATGTCTCGTGTGCATTCTTTTGAACAACCGGCACATACAGTGTTTCTGCGTTAATTTGTGTTTTTAAATCAAAGCCCGTTTGTCACATACATTCGTAAACTCCACATCTTTCCCTACCGTTGTCATAGTAACTCGTGGAGGTAAGTTTTCAGCTAGACTATCAGCTAGGCTGCCATTCACGCTCATCTACACAGATAAATCTAACCGTGGTTCAGCCTCAAGAAAGAAACTACTCATGAAAAATAAATACTAATAATAAAGCATTATGCACCATTCAAAATTCAGTTTCAAGGGAGGAGCAGTAGGTCAAGTCATGCCACAAGGATGAGATGGATGGTTTCTGCGTTTATGAAATGGTGTAGCTCTGCTTACCCAAAAAGGAATATTTGACTACAATAAGTAATATAGGATTGTGTTACATCTCATTAATCGCATTACGATGCGATTAACTGGCTATGGGAAAGGAACCTAGCACTTTATCATCAGTTAATTTAAATATGCAACACGTCATAGATCCATCACAGGAAGTGCATCTGGGACACCACTTTCAAGACGAGTGGGGAGACAGGTCGGAGGGGAGGGGGGTTTGGAGGGACAAAATGTGGTCAGGCATGACTTGCTGGTAGCATCCAGTGCTTCAGTTCATCTGCTCAAAGAACTTGTAGGTGGGGTTCTCGTAGCCGTGGTTTTGCATTTTGTTGAGCTGCCTTTCCTCCGGTGTCAACATGGGATCGACCTGCTGCCAAAAACAACAAGGGCTTGAGTTATAACATCGAAGGAACATATGCAAATAGAGCTCATGCCATTGACTAGGATAAAAACAAAGGTGTTCAAGTCATAGAAGGGAAAATACCAGTGAAAAAAAGGATGGAGGGAATTGATAGATTTCTCTACACAAACCGTGGAGACACTTGGCAAATCTATGCAGAAACCTTTAAATCGAAACGTCTTTAGATCACAACAGATTTACTCTTTAGCACACAGTCAGTCCATGCAGCAGGTCTGTAACAGTCAGATTTGAAGGTTTTATTATCTTTTTTACCTCCCTATAGCACACAGTAGTGTACAACAAATAAGATAATATCTGCCTAAAATGTCAGTCATTTTAACTCCAATGAAACCAAAGCCGATAATAACTTGTCAAAAATATCCTGTTTTTTTTAGATTTTTTTTGATAAAAACATTTAGTCATACATTCATTTCTTTACAAGACCAGGCACACGCAAACACCTGCGTTACATTCCCACCAAAGACTTTTTTTTTTTAAAAAGCTTTTGTGCAGTTTGTAATTAATAACCAGTATACCTTGCCAAGTCATCCTGGTAGTTTATTCATATATATGTGCGTTGCAGCACTCTCTCCTGAATAATGGTTTCAGGACCTATTTGTAATAGTACTTGTACTAAAATCAATTTGATCATACTGTTAACTAGCTTAGACATTTAAATTCACAATGTCATCATATATGATTAAACATAATTAATTAACTTCTGTGACGTGTTCTTACTAAGCTGCTCGCTCAACAGATTGCGCCAGATTTCAGGAAGAGGGCGGCGATTATGTGACCCACATTTGTAACAGTTAATTGCAAAATGTTGTTCTCACGCAAAATCATTACTGGAAAATTATTATATTATTGGTTACATTTTAAAGGGTCACAATTAGGTTGTTTTGTTTTTCTGACTTGTTGACAGTTCCTGACTAATGAAAATCAACAGCAGTCTGCTTTATTCAAATAGCATGTTGAACGGCAAAGACAACATGAAATCCTAGATCGCTCTTTAAAAATGTCAAGACACTCAACTTCAAAAAGTAAAACATAAAAGCTATTGAGTAAGTATGGCACTAGTAATTTTGTTTGTAAGCGAGACAGAAAAACAACAAAAGAAACCCCCAAATAATAACGCAGGGTTTTACCGAGTTGATGTTATCACCGGTCTATTTACCCCTAACAGGGACAAGTCTGAACAATCTTAGTTTGGTGAAACAGAAGGGCGTTTCTTTGGATGATCTAGTTGGCGTGGAATCGGTTCAAAATGCGATGAAGCTACTTTTATCTCAGACATTTTGCAGCTTGTCACTTTCACATCAAGCTGCTCTTCACATAAGTGTTTGTGGTTATCAATGCTGACGATGTGAGACTCTGTGGTTCGTTACTGATAATTTTCCATGTGAAACATGTTTTCACGCATGACTTGGTAGAGTATTTAATGCAAACCTATTATGGCGAAAGGACAACAAAAAGGAGCTATTTGGACGTTAGCTGCAGATTAACTGAGCTGAGTTAGATTGGCCTTTTAGTCTTTTTATCCAGACAAAGGAGCACAATGTACTGCAGGCAAGATGGTGACTTTTTATCTGCCAAATTATAACATTAAAACCCATGACAACAGCTTTTTTTATTTTACATTTATTCCTAAATTAAAGGTCTGGTTTGGGTCCTACCTCCACAATGCCATGGCTAATAGTGCCGTATGGCTTTCTGCGCACCAGAAGCAGGCTGATGACCATCACCATGGCGATGGCTACGGCCACCACCAGCAACCCAACCATGGCGCCACGGTTAAACGTGTCCAGGGCATCAGGTTGCTTTGGGAGGAAGCAATATTAAACAGCAAAGAGGTTTCAGTGCAGAATATGTCATTGTTATTGTAATTTATCACAATAAAATACAATTTTCCACATATCAAAATTCTTTCAAAGGCTTAGAAAACATTTGCAACACAAGCTCTTACCAGTTCGTCTCTTGCGATCTCATTGGGCTTGAGTACCTGTTTCAGCTCAGCAGAGGTGTTAATCTGCATTAACACAGAATATATAACAATAAAAAACTACGTAGGTGCATCTCAGTAAATCAAAGTACCATCAAAAGGTTCATTAGTCAATGTGACTTAGCTGATTCAGTTTCTAAGAAAATTAGAATATTTGGTAACACTTTATTTGAAGGGGGTTGAATAAGACTGATATGACACTGTCATAACACCTGTCATGAACATAAATAAGCCTTCATGAATATTTATGACTGTTGTCATAAAGCATCATTTAGTCAATTATGACACTTTTAATACAAAGTTGACATTATTCAAAATGTCTTTGTTATGACAACTTGACATGAACCAATAAATCATTACTGATATAAATTTGTTATAAAAGTATTACTGATTGCACTTTAAAAATTAGGTAACTTTATGTTATTAAAGGTAAAGTTTAAACAGTAATGATTTATTGGTTAATGTCAAGTTGTCATAACAAAGACATTTTTAATAATGTCAACTTCATATTAAAAGTGTCATAATTTACCGAATGACGCTTTATGACAACAGTCATAAATATTCATGAAGACTTATTGATGTTCATGGTGTTATGTCATGTTTATGACAGTGTCATGACAGTCTTATTCACCCCCCTTCAAATAAAGTGTTACCAAATATTTTATCATAACAGAAAAATATGTGTGTGATACTGTTTCACCCCCCCCCCCCCCCCCCCCCCCACACCCCATAAAAATCATCCACTTATTCTTTTTTTT